GGTCGCCCGCGGCAGGTCCTGCGCTCGCCGGCCGCGCAGAGGCCCTGGACGCCGGGCTGCCCGGACCCCCGCACCCCGCGGCCCCGCCGCACCCCGCACCCCGCACCCCGCCGCCCCGGCCCGGCCCGGGGAGGGGACGCAGCTCCCTCCCGCGGGTGGCAGCGCGGCTCTGACAAACTTTCCAGAAGAGTCCAGCGGCAGAGGAGATGCCTGGGCTGGCGGCGGAGGGGCAAGCTGTCTGTCTGTCTGTCTGTCTGTCTCTGTCTGTCTGTCTCGACACAGATTTCCTCGGTTTGACCTGCTTTCCACGAGCCAGCAAGACGGTGACAGGAACTCACACTTTCACCTTACTCTCAGTGTAGGCAGAGACAGACAGACAGACAGACGACCGAGACAGAGAGACAGAGGCGAAGACAGACAGACAGACAGACAGAGAGACGGAGAGACAGACAGAGACAGAGACACACAGACAGACTTTGGCGCTCGGGTAGGGAAGGCGCGGGTGGAGACGCGTCCGTGGTGCTTCTTGCGGACCAGCTGTGCGCCCGCACCGCACCGCACCGCACCGCACCGACCACAACCACCACCACCGCACCTGTGACACGCGCGCGCCCCGTCCCGCGCAGGGACCCGAGAGGACGGGAGGGCGCCGCCCCCCGACCCCCACCTCACCCCGCCCCGCACCCCCCGCACCCCCGCACCCCCCGACCCCCGCCCCCGCACCCCCGCACCCCCCGCACCCCCCCCGACCCCCGCCCCGCCCCCAGCCCGTCCCCGACCCCCCCGCACCCCGCACCAGCCCCCAAAAAGTTCCCGGCCGGCAGCTCCGGGCGCGGGCTGGGTGCGCGCGGGCCGCGGGCGGAGTTGTCATGGAGACCTGGAGTTGGGGTGCGGGCGGGGGAGGGGGAGGGGGTCCCGGGGAGCCCCTGCGGGACGGGCGGGGCCCGCGCTGCAGAGAGGGGCGCACGTGCGCGCGTGGGGGGGGACAGAGAGCGAACCGGACGGGGAGCGCAGAAACGGGGTGCGGGGGGGTGCGGGGGTGCGGGGAGGGGGTGCGGGGTGCGGGGAGGGGGTGCGGTTGCGGGGAGGGGGTGCGGGTGCGGGGAGGGGGTGCGGGGTGCGGGGAGGGGGGTGCGGGAAGGGGGTGCGGGGGAGGGGGTGCGGGGAGGGGTGCGGGGGTGCGGGGAGGGGGTGCGGGGTGCGGGGAGGGGGTGCGGGGAGGGGGTGCGGGTGCGGGGAGGGGGTGCGGGGAGGGGGTGCGGGGAGGGGGTGCGGGGTGCGGGGAGGGGGTGCGGGGTGCGGGGAGGGGGTGCGGGAGGGGTGCGGGGTGCGGGGAGGGGGTGCGGGGTGCGGGGAGGGGGTGCGGGGAGGGGGTGCGGGGAGGGGGTGCGGGGAGGGGGTGCGGGTTGCGGGGGAGGGGGGTGCGGGGTGCGGGAGGGGGTGCGGGGTGCGGGGAGGGGGTGCGGGGAGGGGGTGCGGGGAGGGGGTGCGGGGTGCGGGGAGGGGGTGCGGGGAGGGGGTGCGGGGAGGGGGTGCGGGGAGGGGGTGCGGGGTGCGGGGAGGGGGTGCGGGGGTGCGGGGAGGGGGTGCGGGGTGCGGGGAGGGGGTGCGGGGAGGGGGTGCGGGGTGCGGGGAGGGGGGTGCGGGGTGCGGGGGAGGGGGGTGCGGGGGGGTCCGCCGGGCCGCCCGTCCCCGGGACTGCCAGCGCGCGCTCAACTTTTGGGGGGCTGGAGGGGGGGGCCGTCAGACCCCCGATCGGGGAGGCGGGGAGGGGGTGGGGACGGGAGGTCCCCGGTGCGGGCTCCGGCCCTCCCCGCTCCCGCTGCCCCGCGCGCTCCGCAGCCGGGGCCGGGACGGAGCGGGGACCGCCCGCGGGGAGCCGGGGCCGGTGGAGAGCCGCCCGCCGCCCGCCCGGGACGCGGCGCCAAGTTGCGGCGCGGCGGCCGCGCTCCCGGCTCCCGCGCTGCTTACCGGGTCGGGGCAGCGGCTCCGGCGGCGGCTCCGCGCGGCGGGCGCGGGCGGGGAGCGCATGGGGGGGCCGCGGCCGGCCCGGGGGGACCCCCGCCTCCGCCGCTCCGCGCGCGCCGGGGCGGTGCGCGTGCGCGTGCCAAGGCCGCGGGTGCGCGCGTGCGTGTGCGCGGCCTCGCTCTGCCCGGCGCGCGCTCGCTCTCGCTGCCGCTCGCTCGCTCGCTCTGTCGCTCTGTCTGTCTGTCTCGCTCGCTCAAGGGCTCAAGGACGAGGTGAAATCCTGCGCTGGTCATGAGGCGGCTTCACACGCACAGCGCCCGAGCAAACAACAAAAGGCGGACAGAACACGGGGGGAGGGGAGGGGGAGGGCGGGGGGAGGAGGGGGAGGGGGAGGGGGGGAGGGGGGGAGGGGGGAGGGCGGGGGAGGGCGGGGGGAGGGGGAGGGGGAGGGGGGCGGGCGGGGGGAGGGGGAGGGGGGAGGGGGGAGGGCGGGGGGAGGAGGGGGCGGGCGGGGGGAGGGGGAGGGCGGGGGGAGGGAGGAGGGGGAGGGCGGGGGAGGGGAGGGCGGGGGGGGGAGGGGGAGGGCAGGGAGGGGAGGGGGGGAGGGGGAGGAGGGGGGGAGGGGTCGTGGGAACGATGAGGGGGGCGAGGTCACCGGCGGCGGGGCAGGGGGGGCGCTGGGACCCCCGTGGCCCTGATCCCCCCACACACACACACCCTGAGTTACGCGGGGCCACCTGTCCTGCCCTGCTGCCTGCAGCCCTGTCCTGTCTGTCCTGTCTGTCCTGTCTGTCTGTCCTGTCCTGTCTGTCCGTAGGTCCGTCTGTCCTGTCTGTCCGTCTGTCTGTCCGTCTGTCCTGTCTGTCCGTCTGTCTGTCCTGTCTGTCCGTCTGTCCTGTCTGTCCATCTGTCCTGTCTGTCCATCTGTCCTGTCCTGTCTGTCTGTCCGTCCGTCTGTCCTGTCTGTCCGTCCGTCTGTCCTGTCTGTCCGTCTGTCCTGTCTGTCCGTCTGTCCTGTCTGTCCGTCTGTCCCTGTCTGTCTGTCCTGTCTGTCCATCTGTCCTGTCTGTCCATCTGTCCTGTCTGTCCTGTCTATCTGTCCGTCTGTCTGTCTGTCCTGTCTGTTCATCTGTCCTGTCTGTCCATCTGTCCTGTCTGTCCTGTCTATCTGTCCGTCTGTCCGTCTGTCTGTCTGTCCTGTCTGTCCTGTCTGTCCATCTGTCCTGTCTGTCCATCTGTCCTGTCTGTCCATCTGTCCTGTCTGTCCTGTCTATCTGTCCGTCTGTCTGTCCTGTCCTGTCTGTCCTGTCTGTCCTGTCTGTCCGTCTGTCCTGTCTGTCCATCTGTCCCTGTCTGTCCGTCTGTCTGTCCTGTCATCTGTCCGTCCATCTGTCCTGTCTGTCCTGTCTGTCCTGTCTGTCTGTCCGTCTGTCTGTCCTGTCTGTCTGTCCTGTCTGTCCGTCTGTCCTGTCTGTCCGTCTGTCTGTCCTGTCTGTCCTGTCTGTCCGTCTGTCCTGTCTGTCCGTCTGTCTGTCCTGTCTGTCCGTCCGTCTGTCCTGTCCGTCTGTCTGTCCTGTCTGTCTGTCCATCTGTCCTGTCTGTCCTGTCCGTCTGTCCTGTCTGTCCCGTCTGTCCCTGTCCTGTCCGTCTGTCCTGTCCTGTCTGTCCATCTGTCTGTCCTGTCTGTCTGTCCGTCCATCAGTCCTGTCTGTCCTGTCTGTCTGTCCTGTCCGTCTGTCCTGTCCTGTCTGTCCTGTCTGTCCGTCTGTCCTGTCCGTCTGTCCTGTCTGTCCGTCTGTCCTGTCTGTCCTGTCTGTCTGTCCGTCTGTCCATCTGTCTGTCTGTCCATCTGTCCTGTCTGTCCTGTCTGTCCGTCTGTCCTGTCTGTCCATCTGTCTGTCCTGTCTGTCTGTCCGTCCATCTGTCCTGTCTGTCCTGTCTGTCTGTCCTGTCTGTCTGTCCGTCTGTCTGTCCTGTCTGTCTGTCTGTCCTGTCTGTCCGTCTGTCTGTCCTGTCTGTCCTGTCTGTCTGTCCGTCCGTCTGTCCTGTCTGTCCGTCTGTCCATCTGTCCATCTGTCCTGTCTGTCCTGTCTGTCTGTCTGTCCTGTCTGTCTGTCCTGTCTGTCCGTCTGTCCGTCTGTCCTGTCTGTCCTGTCTGTCCGTCTGTCTGTCCTGTCTGTCCGTCTGTCTGTCTGTCCCGTCCGGAGCTTAGAGTTCCCCCCCCCCCCAATTTGTACGGCGCACTGAGGAACTGGACTGGAGACCACGGAGGGAACTGCCCACCACCCCAGGGGAGAGAAGGGGGGGGAATGTGGTTTCATCATCATCATCACCATCACCATCATCACCATCACCATCATCATCATCACCATCATCACCATCATCACCATCATCATCACCATCACCATCATCACCATCACCATCATCATCATCATCATCATCATCATCATCATCACCATCATCATCATCATCACCATCATCACCATCATCATCATCATCATCATCACCATCATCATCATTATCACCATCATCATCAACCATCATCACCATCATCACCATCATCATCATCATCACCATCATCACCATCATCATCATCATCATCATCATCACCATCATCATCATCATCACCATCATCATCACCATCATCACCATCATCATCACCATCACCATCATCATCATCATCATCATCACCATCATCATCATCATCACCCATCATCACCATCATCATCATCATCATCATCAATAGAAATTTCCTTTAGGAAAATAAAACAAATACTGCTCTCCACTTTAAAAAAGGAGCGACCAGAGGAAATGGCGTGAGTGTGTGTGTGTCTGTGTCTGTGAGTGTGTGTGTGACTATCTGTCTGTCTGTGTCTGTGTGTGTGTCTGTGTGTGTGTATCTGTCTGTGTGTGTGTGCCTGTCTGTGTCTGTGAGTGTGTGTGTGTCTGTGTGTCTTGTGTCTGTGAGTGTGTGTGTGACTATCTGTCTGTCTGTGTCTGTGTGTGTCTGTGTGTATCTGTCTGTGTGTGTGTGCCTGTCTGTGTCTGTGAGTGTGTGTGTGTCTGTCTGTCTGTCTGTGTCTGTGCGCGCAGAGCACAACTCCGGGCACCCCCAGCCCCCACCCCCTCCAGAGAAGAAGAGCTCAGCCCCGTCCTGGCATCTACAACAGCATCGGTCAAGTAAGTCCTCCTTGTTACCCTCCCCTCCCTCCCTCCCCCCCTCCTTCCCCCTCCCAGCATCCTGGGGTCCCCCTGCGCCCTGCCCCCCTCCCCCAGCATCCTGGGGTCCCTCTGCGCCCTGCCCCCCTCCCCCAGCATCCTGGGGTCCCCCTGCGCCCTGCCCCCCTCCCCCAGCATCCTGGGGTCCCCCTGCGCCCTGCCCCCCTCCCCCCAGCATCCTGGGGTCCCCCCTGCCCCCCCCTTCCCCCCCCCCCCCCCCCCCCCCCCCCCCCCCGTCTGGACAGGTCGGGACCGGGACCTGGCGCAGGCTGTGTGTGTCTGGGTTGGAGGGGAGCGCCGCCTTCTCTGCTCCTGGCAGAGTGTGGGGGAGGGGGGGGGAGGGGGGGGAGGGGGGGGAAGCGGGGTGCGGGCCAAGTTTCCCGCAACTCTGGGGCGGCGAAGGCCCCCGACCTGGCACAGCCGCCAGAACCCCTGTCCTCCCCGAGACCCCACGCAGACACCGGACCGGAGAGAAGCTCCCAGAGGGGCTGGTACAGATCCCCCCAAACACGGGGAGGAGGTAAGCCCGGGCGCCCGGGCTGGACAGATCTCGGGGAGGGGGTCTCCCCGCTTCCCTTGGCTCATCCGACTTTCGGTGGAATTACCAGAGAGAGGAGGAGGGGGAAATCTCCAGGTCCAAGCCGGGCTGGCCTGATGGACAGCTTTGGGGTGCAGGGGGAGGGGGTGGAGAAGGGGGACCCAGTGGTTTTCTTTGGGGGATCGGATCCCTTTAACTTGGAGCTCCCCCCCTCATCCCTTAACTTTGGTCCCCTCCTTTCTCCCTCCCCCCCCCAGCACCCTCCCTGGACTGCCTGTATCTCTGGACACCCCCAGAGTTTTCTAGAATCCACCACCACCATCATCCCCAGGAGATTAAGGGGCATTTCCTTATGCAGGAAACTCACGCTGCGGATTCGCCCAGAAAAGTGACACCTCCTTTCTCACCCTTCCCCTCCCCCCCACCAACTATCCCCCCCCCAATAGATTTCTTGTCACACTTGTCCAGGGGGGGGAAATTTCCGGGAACAGGGGGTTATGGGGGAAGAAGGGGAGGGAGAGGAAGTGTTTGGAAGTGTTTGCCAGTGGATTCCTTGCTACTTGTTTTATTGCTTTATTTATTCCTTTTGCTAAACCAGAAGGAAAAAATAAAGAGCAGAGACCCCTCTTCTCCTGGAAGGGAAAATGGGGTGCAAGAATCCCCAGAACTCTAGGCACAAAATCGAAAGGGGAAGTGGGTGATGAACCACTCCCACGAGAAAAGAAAGAAAAAAAACACCCTTCCACTTCGACAAATATTTGATAGCGCAGAGCCTGGTAATTAAGCGAATAATCAAAGAAGCTTCCAGGCGTTCACGAGGGCCCTAAATGATCATCCGAAATTTATGAGTAGTGTAATCATTTGCTGCTTGATACAGAATTCAGAATACGGCAATCTACATGTGTACCCTTAAACAATCTCACTTCATTTTTCTAAGGATTTAATGAGAGACACTAGCTAATAATAATAATATAATTAATAATCATATCTCAGCTGCTGGATTGATTGATGTAGCCTTCCCTGTGTGTGTGTGTGTGTGTGTGTGTGTGTGTGATACTTTTCCTAAGTATTTCTTTTCCACAAACTTTCTTGCGTTCAGGCTTCAAGCCAGAAGTGCTTGGAGATTTCGTGTACGAACTCACTCATGACTGTTACTTTGAATTTCAGTGTAACTTTCTTCTAAAGGGATCTTGGAATCTCGCTCTGGTTCACACCTGTAATCCTAGCTATTCAGTAGGCTGACATATGAGGATTATAGTTCAAAGCCCACCCACGACCGAAGTTTTATCTCTAATTAACCAGCAAAAAGAAAACTGGAAATGGAGGTATATAGCTCATGTGGTAGAGCACCAGCCTTGAGTGAAAACACCAAGTAAGAGCATGAGGTTCTGAGTTCCAGCCCCAATATGAGTTTTTAACACATGTAGCATGATTTATTAATGTGTGTGTGTGTGTGTGTGTGTGTGTGTGTGCTGGTCCTGGGGCTTGAACTCAGGGCCTGCACGCTGTCCTGTCTCTGAGCTCCACTTCCAACTTTTTGGTGCTTCATTGGAAGTAAGAGTTTCAGGGAATTTTTCTGCCTGGGCTGGCTTTGAACCTTGATCCTCAGATCTCAGACTCCTGAGTAACTGGGCTGACAGGCGGGAGCCACCAGCACCTGGCAGGGTTTACTCTTAGAAAACACATATTGCTGCTTTTCAAAATTAACCAGGGCTCTGTGAGGAACAGCAAGAAACAAATTTAAAAAAGAAAAATGCCCTTCGTGAACCTTCTATGACACTGTATAGCACTGGGAAAATCCTGTACAACTTGCACGGGATTTAATTTTTTGTTTCACATCATACTAAGGGGACATGGGTGGTGTGGGGGGAGGGGGGAGGGACTCCAGAAGGTGGGGTGTGGCCCCCATGGGCCTAACCCCATAAAGGAAGGTAAGCCGGTCCCCAAGTTCCCTACCTCTCCTCTTTCTTGGATAGTTTGGTTTCTGAGGGGCCAGGTGACCCAGAGGCCAAAGCCAGCCAGACCTGGGCTGTTGGGTGAGATATTGTGAAAGCAATCCTCTGATTCTGACGGGCAGTAGACTTGCCATCATTCATGCTTAGAGAAACTGGGTGTGCAGAAGACCAACTCACCCATGATCCTGAACGGAACAGCCCATCAAACGCTACCCGTGGGGATGTGTGGGTTGGAAGACCGGCCAGAGGAAAGTGCTCTTATTTATTCTTATTTATTCTAGGTTCTCAGAAGGCTGAGATCTGAGGATTGCCGTGAGAGGCCAGCCGGGGCTGGAAAGTCCTTAAGATGTGTATTGCCTATTACCTACCCCCAAACAAACAAACAAACACAAGGCCAAAAGTAGAACTGTGGCTCAAGTGGTAGAGCACTAGCCTTGAGCACCAAAGCTCAGGGACAGCGCCCAGGCCCTGAGTTCAAGCCCCAACACACACACACACACACACATACACACCTGACACATTTCACATCACTTTTGTATTTATCTAGCAATTATTGGGCTCCAAGCCCAGTAATTATGTGGCTAAGGGATTTGAACTCAAGGCCTGGGCACTGTCCCTGAGCTTTTTTGCTCAAGACTAGAGCTCTCCCACTTTGAGCCACAGCTCCACTTCTGGTTCTCTGGCGGTTTGTTGGAGATCAGAGTCTCACAGACTTTCCTGCCCAGGCTGGCTTTGAACCATGATCCTCAGATCTCAGCCTCCTGAGTATCCAGGCTGACAGGCGTGAGCCGCTGGTGCCCTGGCTGGTGAAGCACTTTTTAAGTGTGTATTTGTGGCTCTTTCCCATCACCGACTTGCAGCATTGTTGCATCTGTGTTTTGCAGAGGAGAAAGGAAAGTTCGGAAAGCTTCGCTGACTGGCACAAGGCTGGGAACCCAGGAGCAAAGTCAGGAAGGAAATCAGGACGTGCCCGCGCCGGGCCTGGCTGGGTTGAAAGTCTGCTCCACTCCACAGTGGGGGGGGGGGGGGTCGGTGGGTGATGGTGGGTCCCCATCTGGGTAGCTTAAAATACCAAATTCCATACTCTATTCGCTCCAAAGGAAAGCTGAATTGTGCCCTCAGTCACATTCTGTGATGTTTCCAAGGAAAACATCTAAACGTATTAGATGTGGAACATACATATATATTCCTATAGATACACAAATGTATGTGTGTAGATATATGTCTACATACGTATGTAATATATAATATATATGCATATATAATATATATGTGCATGTTATATATTATATGTACTAGCTATGCTATAGCCAGATATAATGTATATGTATTATATAATATGTACATGTATATATGTAACATATGTGGATATGTCCATATATTACATATGATATATCCATATATTGTATATTATATAATGTATATATAATATTTTATATTAGTAATACATGTGTAATATATACATAGACATATAGTACATATGCAATATATGCATAGATATATATAATAAACACATTTTATATGTGTAATATATGTAATATATACATATATAATAATATATGATGTTATATAACATAATATATAAGTATTATATACATATTTAATGTATGTAGTATATTATATATGTAATGTACAATATATTCTATATACTATATGCATATATGTATATGTGTATATATTATAAGTGTAATACATTATATATGTACCATAACATGTATATATGTGCATGGTAGATATAATATGCAGACATCTATGTATGTATAATATATACATATGCATGTGTGTGTACTACATGTGATCTAGACATATGTTATATATTACATATATACATACGCATATGTGTTATAAAAGCCATGTAAGCCAGGCTCCAGTGACTTATACCAGTAATCCTAGTTACTCAGGAGGCTGGGACCTGAGACCTGAGGATCATAGTTCAAAGCCAGCCCAGGAAGACAAATCTGAGAGACCCTTAATCTCCAATTAACCAGCAAAAACAACACCCCGTCCATTCCCTCACAGCCACCCGATGCGAAGCAGCATTTCCTTCTATCATTTTACAGGTAGACAAGCCCAGAGATGGTCTCTAACAGCCCAAAGCAGGTAAGAGGCCATCAGCAGACTCCACAGCTCGTGTTCAGAGCCAAGCAGCAGAGATTCAAGGTGTTCGCCCCTCCCCCAGCTCTACGCTTCTGCCTTTTCATTCTACTTGAAAACCCACGCAGATTCATACACACTCTGCCCACGTGTGTTCACCAGCAGATAGCGCCCGTGCAGCAAACACTGTCGCCGCGAAACCTGGATTGTGCCTAGGAGCGAGTTTCAGGTTTCTAAGACTCCGCAAAAAGTCTTTCAAGGCCATCCCATTTTCCTCCAACTTATTTCCAAACACCGGAATCTTACCAGGACATCTTTACCCTGAAACTCATACCGATCTTCCATGGCCGTCGATGTTAAAAGTAGCCAGAGAAGATACTCGGATTTCTCAAGAAAGACAGAGAGGGAGAGGGAGAGGAGAGAGAGAGACTATTACCTGCAATTCACCAGCAAAAAGCCAGATGTGGAGATGTGGCTCAAATGATAGAGCACCAGCTTTGGGTGAAAAACAAAACAAAACAAGGCTAAATAAAGAGCAGGAGGCTCTGAGTTGAAATCTTTACCCATACCAAGAAAATAATAATAATAATAATAATCAGCAGAGCAAACTAGCATGGAGCATGGTTAGGTGGAAAAGCATCTGCCCCGCAAGTGCAAAGTTCTCAGTTCAAAGCCTCAGTACTACCATTAAAACAGAAACTTAAAAAAAGACAAAAACAGATTGATTTATCTCTCAGCCAGTTGTGGGAGTTGAAAGCCAAGAACTGGTGTCTGGCTTTGCTGAGGGTCTTGTGTAATGACCCGAGGTAAAAATAAAAAGAGGAAAAAGAAGAGGAGGGGGAAGATCAATCTTATAAATAACAACCCATTTTCCCAGAAGCTAATCAAGGCCATTCGGCTATTCATTAGGCCCCGCCCCCAAAGGCTGAAGCCCCGCCCCTCACCCACCCCACTCAGAAGTTAAGACAGAAATGGTTTTTTCCCCATAGACAAACGGCCTTTATAAATGTGATTTAGCACTTTATGAAGAGAAACCTCTAGAAAAAAAAATCTCCAAAATGTGCATCGACACCATATTTCTGGTTATGCAGACTAAATATGTGCACTTATTTGTACTTACTTTTTCTTAAAATTAAGACAGAAATTAAGAACCCTGGCAATCCCTCCTGGGGGCCTTACAAATACGTGGTAAGAAGCCTGTCTGTAAGAATGATGTGTTTATCCAACGGCTCTTGGTTTAGGGGTGTGTGTGTGTGTGTGTGTGTGTGTGTGTTGGTACTGGGGCTTGAACTCAGGGCCTGGGCACTGTCTCTTAGCTTTTTCATTCCTGGCTGGTGCTTTACCACAGCTCCACTTTTGGCTTTATGGTGGTTCATTGGAGATAAGAGTCTTCCAGACTTTCCTGCCTGGGCTGGTTTAGAACTGTGATCCTCAGATCTCAGCCTCCGGAGTAGCTCAGTACCTGTTACCTCTCCAATTAAACTCAATGTATACTAGCAAGTTGCATAACTGAGCTTCTCCTAAACCAGCCGAGGTTGACGAAGCCTGAAGAGATTTTCTTCCCTTGCTCCTCTTTCTAAATAAACTCTCAGAGTCCTGGTGGGCTCACCCGTGTAATCCCAGGATGAACTATGAGGATCGAGGTTCAAATCCAGCACCCAAAAGCCAGAAAGAGGCCTGTGGCTCAAATGTTAAAAGCTCAGGGAGAGCGACTAGTCCCTGAGTTCAAGCCCCGGATCACACACACACACACACACACACACACACACACACACACACACACACACACACTCACACACAGATTTTCTCTAAGTGATTATCTGGAAGGAGAAATAACTGACAGCAATTTCCCTCCGATATCCCTAATCCTTGTAAGATGTGAGATACAGTTAGCCAAACTATTAACCTCACCTACTGGGCCTCTTTCTACAAATTGAAAAATATGGCCTGTACCTAGCAAATCCCACACACTAAGCTCTTACTGGAAAAAGAAATAAACTTTGAAAGCCCTATTACAGATACATATGTTTCCATTTAAGAACTACTATGAAATGGAGTGTTCTTTTATTTAAACCTTCCCCTGTGGTTATACAAATTAAGGAAGAGGAATACAATATTAACGGCTGACAGGCAGACTAAACCCAACTGGTTGAAAAACATTTGGTGAAACAGCCAACAATGGTTTCTGTCACTGAAATGTGAAGCCACCTATCCATTAAGAAAAAAAAAATCCAGCCAGACACACAGATGCAGGTGGCTGAGATCTGAGGATCACGGTTCAAAGCCAGCCTGGACAGGAGAGAGAGTCCTGTGAGACCCTGATCTCCCATGAGCCACCAGAAAACCAGAAGTGGCGCTGTGGCTCAAGGGGTAGAGCGCCAGCCTTGACCTGAAGAGCTGAGGGACAGTGCCCGCCCTGAATTCAAACCTTAGGACACACACACACACACACACACACACACACACACACACACACACACACACACATGACAACGGAGATTTACTGACCAAGTTCGTAGACTGCATCTCTGTGACACAAAGTCTGGGCACCTGCCATCCCATGTTCTAATGCTACTAAACCCTGTGGTCTGATGACGTCACACTCCATCCCTGCCGGCTTAGCTAGGGTGGATCACCCATTCTCTACCCTCTTTTACTCTCCGCATCTTTCCTTCTTGAAGGTTCTAGCTCTTCCCTGTGAGTCTCCTTATATTTTAAGAGACCACCTCAGAAGCAATGATTTCAAAAAATAAATAAACACTCGAAGTTAATTAATGGGGTGCCAATTATTTGCGAGAGTGGGTCACAAAATGGAAATCAAGGCCTGTCTATTGACTAGCTTTGCTTCTCCTCTTTTCCCAAGGCAACATTAATACTCGAGAGGAATGTAACCATCCTGGACGCTGAATAGCACGTAAGAGTACCACAGTCCTCATCAACAGAAGGAAGGGCGTCTCAGGAGTCTTTATAACCTCAACATCATCCTCCAGGAATAGCTAGTTCATAGATTAATCGATTACTTCCGTGTCGCGCTCTGGGCTCAGAGCTGGTGGCTCACACCAGCTACTCAGGAGGCTGAGAGAGGAGGACCCTATTTGGAAGCCAGCCCAGGCAGACAAATCTGAGAGACTCGTACTTCCAATGAACCAGCAAAAGGCTGGAAGTGGATGTGTGTTTCAAATGGTAGAGCACCGGCCTTGAGTGTCAAAAACTAAGCAAGAGATCCTGAGTTCAAGCCCCAATACACCCAGCCCACAAAACATGTCATGGTCCAAACCAGGGGAGAATATTAAATATAGCTATTAAATATAAATATTAAAATAGCATCATTTAATATTCCTAGTAAGACTGTGCTTTTGTATGAACATGAAGTATTAAAATAGAAATCATGCAGATTGTCTGAGGTGAGGGTAAACTATTGTTACACATGATTTCCAATGGCTGAGGTGAGAAAGGTCCTAATGATTACAATACCTGTTTATTATAATTATGGATAATGATTTATTTTCATGACTGCTCTAATCACTATAGGTACATTTTTCTCATTGAATCTCCCTAGCGATCCAGAGTTAATTTCTGTTGCTAGTCTCATTATTATTACTATCATTGTTGTTGTTGTTGTTGTTGTAAATGAAGGGGTGGGTTAATTCAGCAATTGTGAGTTGGCGCAGTTCCATACCAACTGTAAATATTGAATATAAGTTGTTCAACTTCAGAGAAAGTAAATGAACTGCCTAAAAAAAAATCTATCTCCTAGGCCTTCGTGATTACCGAACACATTCAAAATGTTGAATTTCACAGCAGTGGTTATCCAGACTATGAGAATTTCCCCAACTGGGAATCCCACTGAGCCAGTACCCAGAAGCTGGGGCAGGGATTTGTCACTGGGACTCTAGCATCGTGAAGACAAAGCCTGATCTCTGGTCTCCCCAGTATTCAGATCTCTGAGGCATAATTCACATTACTTTGTATCACCCAAAATTCTTTCTTCCCTGGGCAGACCGTTCAGGGACAGCCCGTAGAAAATGGTTTAGGAATTGCATGATCCAAAACATGTTCCTTTTGAAGGCTGTCTAGTTTGCCTCTACACCTCAAATCACCAGGACTGCCCCAAGCAGCACCCCCAAAACCCCACCAGCACCACCCTCATTCCAACCTTGCTGGGCTGGCTCTCACACTCAACATGGTAGATTGGCTCTCGGGAAATCTGCAGCTCTTGGCTGTACAAGTACCAAAAAGTCACGTTCTCCTCAGCCTATAGAAATGGAACTTGTGTGTGTGTGTGTGTGTGTGTGTGTGTGTGTGTGTGTGCATGCATTTGCATGTGTGTGCATGTGCACATGTGTGTGTACGCAGGTGAACCAGATTCAGAGAGACGGAAACAGAGAGACAGAGGGAGCAAGACAGGAGAGATTTGGATAGGGAGTGAATTTACCCGTACCGAAGGTCATGTGGCCTGATTGGGCCCTTGTTGGTAGATATTGGAATCTGATTTGGTAAAAGATTAATTAATTGTCGATTTTAACTCTAGAATACGTGGAATTTGCTCATCTCCCCCCAAATTATGCTCACATGCAGATTTCAAAAGCGTCCATTGACATATTCATCTAAGTAAGACTTTAAACCAATCAAGCATGAGTTGGACCTTTGGCTACCTTCTAGAAACAACTTCCTGCTTTGCTCTTTGTAGTGACTTTAGTCCAGTATCCTCGACACAAAAAAAACTAATCAAACACAGAAATATATCATCTGCGTTGGTTAAGTATCTCACCGGAGAGGAAAAGGAAGTTGGGATTCTTTCAGGAAAATTCTCTCTTGACCTTACAGCTGATGTGCAGGTATGCAGGTAGTTCATTGGAGATCAGAATCTCATGAACTTTCCTGCCTGGGCTGGCCTTGAACCGTGATCCTCAGCTCTCAGTCTCCTGAGTAGCCGCGATGAGAGGTGGGAGACGCTGGTGGCTGGCTCTCGATGACAACCTTGATTGTCTAATACCTGAACACTTTGGTAAAAATGGTGTATCTATCTCTGTATGTGTATCTATATATCTTACCTGTGTATCTGTGTATCTGGAGCAATGTAGATATCTATCTATAAATCTACACACATCCGTAGATACAGATAGACCTATCCATATAAAGATATGATATAGAGACGTAAGTGTGGATTAAATAGATATACAGATACACTTGGGCTCACATGCAGGGAAGGGAAAATGGGGAGTCTGTTGTGTATTTACAACTCCACAGCGCTTGATTTCTCGTCTCCTGTTTTTCCTTTTCCATTCTCCTTTTCATCCATTTCTTATTCTTACTTTGTAATTTAAATTTCTTTTTCTGCTTTGTGCTCTTCTCTTCCGTGTGGATCTCCCGAGACAGCCTCTGGGTCTTCAACGGGGAGTCTTCCCACACTCCAGTTTGTCCCTTGCTGCTCAGTCACCAAACGTGTTCATTTGTTCAAC